TTCGATCCCCAGCCAGGGGGCACATACAGAAGTCAACCAATAAATGCATCAGTTAAGTGTAATCACAAACTGGTGTTTCTCTCTCTCTCTTAAATCAGTAACTAAATAATTTCAAAAACTTTATTTGTAGAGTTAATTTGAGGCTGGGTGGAGATAATACTGTCCTCCATTTATTTTTGTCTTTTCTCTTTCTCAGGTATCTGTGGGAGTCTAGCAGTCAAGATACTTCAGTACAATTTCAAGGCTTGAGTTTTGGAAGCGATTCCGATGGCACTAAACCAGCCACAAATTCTCTGTTTTCTTCCAGTTCACCCTCACCCTACAGGGTGCTAGCTTAAAGCCAGAGAGGGTTTTACCAGTGTCCCTACTGCAGGTGGCCCCGAATTCTGGCTTCTTTCCTCCCAGTCCTGAGCGGCTTCCAGAAGTTCGCTCAGCCTCTCCACAGCCTCTTCTGGACCAGAACCACACGCACAGACAAAGCAGCTTCTAGAGCGGAGCACGAACTTCCTGTCTCTCTGTCCTTTTCAAATCTCCACCTAGTATTTCCTGTTTAACCAGTCAGCTCTTTGATGCTCTCAATGAGATGTTTCCAATGTTTTTTCAGCGTTTTTATTTGTCCTCATAGGACAGATTGTTTCAAATGATTTTGTTCATTAAGGAAGGTGGGGATCCCTCTCCAGGATTTTTTACACCCCTTATGTCTTTACTACATTCGAATTAAAAAATATCTTATATAAAGTAGAATCTACTCCTAAGCGTTTTCACCGAGGACAGACTGACCTAGAGTGAAAAAGAAAAAGGGATAGGACAGACAGGCGAGGGAAGGGTCAGGGGTCAAGTTCGTGGCAAGGGCAGCTCCCTTGAGAATCCGGAGTCAGGCAGAGCCTTCACTGTTGACGGGGCTCTCACATCCTCACGGTTGCCTCTGGGAAGCAAGCGGTAGGAGCGAGGACAGAGAGACAGCCTTCTTTCTGGAGATTACAGTGAGGCTGAGGAAATGAGACATTAAGGGAAAAAAAGTGAGGTCCCCACACAAGCCATGAGGGGCAAGAGTCCTGTGTGGTCTGGGTCAGCTTCACCAGCCTCTTCACTTTAATGAGACTGCAGCAGCTGCTGTCTGGATGATGGTCCAAATCCTCAATTTTTATCAGTTTTTATCAGAGTGGTCAGATGTGGGAGGAAGAGGCAGAAATTTCAGCACCAGCTTCAGGAACTAAAGGAGTCCAAGAAGTAGGGGGCACCCGGATTTGAACCAGGGACCTCTTGATCTGCAGTCAAATGCTCTACCCCTGAGCTATACCCCCACTTACACATACATGTTCATTAACACCTTTTCACCCACGGCACTGCACCCAGGATAGCTACGTGTCTACACGTCAGTGTTTTTGCTGCGTGTCCCAGAAGTGGCCAGTCCTCTCACTCCAGTCCTCTCTCTTGTCTCCCCTTCTCCAGCCTTCACTGGCTGTCCTCCAGCCCTCCTCTTCCTCAGGCTGTGGGAATGGCACCAGCCTTTACACCGGAAAGGCCATTTGAGTCTATCTCAGTGTCTCTACCTAAGCCAGCACACACTCCTGAGGACAGTCCCGGGCAGTTCGGGGTCTCCAGTGACCCTCCCACTCAGTGCAGGGAGAGCCTTGTCCTCATCCCGAGGCCTCGGGAAGGGCACTCCTGTTCTGGACACGGAGCATGTGCGGCGCCAGGCCCTGTCATTCACGGTGAGGACACAGAGACTTGAAATATCGTCCTGGCTCCTCAAAGACTCTTAGTCCCACAGGAGACAAACCCCTGAGCCATGGTATTCCCACAGGAGGGGCAGAAGGCCAAGAAGAGAGCCGGGGGAGCAGAACTGAAGGAGCTACCCTGCCCGGGGAGTCAGGAGGGCCTTCCTGGAGGAGGTGGACCAGGAGGGGTTTGCTGGAAGAAGCTGGAGAGGCTCTGGGGCCAAGGGAGGAATGAGACCAAAGACCAGGCGTGTCTGGAGCTCAGTGAGGCTCCAGGCTCGTGCCACACAGGAGGTGTGTGCCCTCCGACCCAGGAAACACTTTGGAAGTCCGGGTTCCTGCCACAGCAAGAGCGGGACTGAGCCACTGTCCCGTGGGGAAGGCCTGTGACACAGCATGACAATTTATGACCTCAGTTAATGCTCACAACCACTTTTCTGTTGTCCAATTCTAATGCAGGTTTGGCCAGGATGGGCCCAGGGAGCACCTGGGACACAGCACAGGCAGCATGGGGAGCAAGGGGCCATGGGGGTCTTGTCCATCGGGGTCTGGGCAAGAGCTGTTACTGGCCTCCTCATTCACTACTTCATACTAAAGGTCAGTTTGGCAAGGGGGCGTCCGGACTTGAACCAGGGACCTGTTGACCTACCGTCACATGCCCCGCCCCCAGGCTAGGGCACGCCCCTTGAACTGTGCCCCTGGCTGCTGATTGTGGACACTCGCCGCCCAGCTGCAGGGAGCAGGCAGCCAGCACCGTGACACCCTGGCTCCACGGCCGTCACTCCCTCACCCGTCCGCCTGTCAACTCCTACTGGCCACCTTCCATGTGCTGGACTCACCTTCCCTCCTTCCCTTTTCTCTCCCTCCTTCTCTGGCTCCGCTCCCCTCTGCTACTGCTGTTCTGTCTGCCTACGGTGGACAGTCACCGGCTTTCCCAGCCCGAGACAGGCCTGGGCCCCTCCTGCCCTCCGCACTGGCCACTGAGGGGCAGGGCAGTCTCTGCGTGGACAGAGAAGCACGTCTCGGACAAGCGGCTGTCCAGGACACCACACCCTGAGACAGACGGCCCCTTTCTCCCCTTCCGCCGTCTGCTTCAGCCACTCAGCCTGACCGACACTGTGGAGGGAAGCGGTGAGCTCGCCCTGTTTTTATTGGAATGTCGTCCCAGACATACACCTAAGTCACGTGATCAACCCCTGACCCAGGCATGTATGGGAAGCAACTGACAGATGCTTCTCTCTCACATCTATAATATTTCTCTCTTCCCACTTCCTCCGTCTGTAAAATCAATGAAAACATGTCCTTGGGTGAGGATTTCAAAAGGAAGAAAGAAAAAGGTGAACCAGCTCCAGATTCCCTTTCAAGGGGGAAAAACTTGAGGTGGGGTGAAGGCTCTGGCTTGTGGGCCCCCAGGGCATGGAGGATCGGTTCGGCTTCACCACAGAGCCAGCATGTGAGCAGGGGGATGAGGAGGCGCAGGAAGGAGGCTGTCCTCTCATCAGAGAGGCTGGCGCTGGTGTGGGGCACATCCGGAGAGAGCCCCCCCTCCCCTCGCCATAATGGAAAAGCCAGAAAAGGTTTGGAGTGCTCGCTCAGTTCCTAAGGGACTTTAACACGGGGACCCACCTTTGTTTGTTTGTTTTACAAACGAGGAAGCCAAGACCCAGAGCTGGCAGTGAGTCCCGAAGGTCCGCTCTGCTCCCGCACCACGCAGGGTCCCTTGACTTATTTCGCAGAAAAGAACCTTCTGTGAACACACATTGGGTGTCAGCACTCACAAGGCCTCTCCAGGGGCGTGGCACATGTCATGCTACGGAAAAAGGAAAGGGGGCGCTAGTGCCTTGAGATTTCTCTTGTTTGGCTTTCAAGAGCACTTGCGGTGACCCAGGACACCAGCGTGGGCAAGCCGGGCCCAGGAACTCGCTGCCCGAGGCATCGCCAGGAAACACCTGAGACCAGCTCTTGCTGCTGAGGGTTAAGATCGGAGCAGCTACACTTGTACCACATCCTGTTTGAGCCCTTGCCGACAGCCAGCCCAGTCGTGGGGGGCCCCTGGAGAGGGCTGGGGGTACCCGAGAAGACAAGCAGGCTCCACGGCAGGGAAGCGCGGCGCCCCCCCTTCCCAAGCCCGGCAGAGCCTGGCTGCACTGTCACTGACCTGCACACTCACTCCTGCCCCAGAGACGACGGTGACGTTACCAGCTGCCCCCAACTCTGCTCATGACTTTGGGAGAGGTGTGAGGGTTTGGGGGGCGGGACAGCAGGAAGCAGCACAGCCAGGGACCCTGAATGCACCTGAATGCTGTCCACTTCACACGGGGCCGGACAAGTAAGACAATGGGAACGGCTGAGGAGCCCACTCACTGCAGCTTCAGATTCACCTTCTGCGAAGCACGTTTGTGGGCGGTGCCAGAAGCACGTTTGTGGGCGGCACCAGAAGCACGTTTGTGGGCGGCGCCAGAAGCGGTGACTTAGGACGCACAAGGAGCTGGCTGCTGGCGGGACTCATGCTGCCGCCTGACCCTCCCGCTTGACCCCTGCTCCTTTGGTAAGACTCTATCTCACTGAAATGCCATAAAGCCCAATGGAAAAGTTCCCTCCCTCTGCACCCAGGGGGCCTGCACTCGTTCCATGAAATAAAGGTCCTTCCTGGGGGATTTGGAGGGAATGGGCTGCAGACTGACATGGAAGAGAGAAGCGGCCTTGACCTTGAAAGAATGAAACCAGGCCTCCTGTCCTGTTTGTCTGGTTGCCGCTTAATCTGTTGTGACCCTGACAACCCCAAGGGGAGGTAGGAAGTCCTGGGGCCACTGCCCATATTGATGAACCAGGGACAGGAGGCTGGAGGTGGTCAGGGGACTTATCCAGACCCCAGGTCTAACTCTGGGGGGACCCCAGTTCTGGGAGACAGCCCCTCCTCTAACTTGACAAACCATCCAGCCAGCTGACCGGCCTCACGGAAACCAGGGTCCTTCTCTCAGGAGGAGGTTCCTGAGGCCCGCCCTTGCGGTGACACAGGGGCATGGAGAGTGCGAACCCCCAAACACTGGGACCTTGGGGACATGCCATCTACCCTGGGCTTCAGATTCCCTTTTTCTAGTGATAAGCAAAATTGGTCCATACCCAGGCAGGGAGGCCCGGGAACCGGGACTCACTGTGGGTGGAGGCGCGCACACCTGGGAGGACACCTGGTTTCCCGGCAGCAGCAGAGGCATGCCCATCAACGCCCAGCTGGTCTGCGGGCCGAGCCACCGCACCCCCCCCAACACACACACGAGCAGGTGGCGAAGTAACCCTGCCGCTCCAGAGTCTTGGTCCCCTATGCAACCACGCACATTTATAAAAGCACCAGAAAAGCTCCATAAGAGAAAAAGAGTTTCAAAATACAAAGTAGAAAAGTCCAGTCTCCAATGCCCATTCAGCAGGCTCTGTCCACTCGACGTCTCTTGGGCCGCTGTGGGCAGACCCCAGACCTCTGTGCACAAAATCAGCGGCCGAGGGCCTCCACCTTTCCGGTCTTCCTGCTGGGAGACCCCCCAGGTCGCGTCGTCGCGGGTCCACTTCCTGTCCGTGGAACCCAGCAAAGGTCCCGCCCCAAACCTGGCACCCCCTTAAGGAGCCTTAAGGGGTCCGTGATAAGTCAGGAATGTAGAGAGCGCAGCACGGAGTGACAAACTTCGGAAACAGGACATGGAGAAAACTGTCACTCACGCACCGTCTCCCAAAAGGCTGCTGCTTCGCATTTGAATGAAAAGGGGAAAAGCTCTCTCTCCAAAGGCATCCCAGAATAGGGAACCAGTTCAAGCAGGAGGGGAAGGGTCCCGCAGGCCGAGAGCAGGTCCTGCCGCTGCCCCGGGGGCCCCGGCCTGGTCAGCCCTCCTCCGAGCGGCTGGGCCGGGCCCGGGGCGGGCCGCGCGCGTGGGTCTGCATGTGGATGGCCAGGTGGTGGTGGCGGTTGAAGGCCCGGCCGCACTGCGGGCACTGGTAGGGCCGCTCGCCCGTGTGGATGCGCTGGTGCCGGAAGAGGTCCGAGGGCCTGCGGAAGGCTTTGCCGCAGTAGGCGCAGGCCGGCCAGCCCTGGCTGTTGCCCGTGTGCAGCCGCTGGTGCAGCAGCAGGCTCTTCCTCCGCTGGAAGAAGCGCAGGCACTCGCTGCAGTGGTACAGCTTGGAGGCCGCCGGCCTGCGCCCCGTGAAGGGCCGGCCGGCCAGGGCGCGGGGGCCCTCGGGCTCCTCCGGGAGCCAGCGGATGACAGGCCCGGGCACCACCACCTCCCCGGGCTCCAGCGTGGAGGGCGCCTCGCCCCAGCCGGCGGGCGCGCCGCCCCGGGCCTCCTGCGCCTCCCCGTCCACGTGGGTCCGCTGGTGGATGGTCAGGTTGATCTTCAAGCGGAAGCTCTGCCCGCAGTCCGGGCAGGGAAAGGCCCGCTCCCGCCGGCGGCGAGGCAGGACGCGGGGCGTCTCCCCGGCCGCCCCTGCCGGACGAGGCCGCGGGTCCCCTGCTCGCACCCTGGGCGCTGCCTGGGCATGAAGCTGCTGGGGACCCCCTGTCCGGCTGTTGGGCCCCTCGGGGACTGTGCTCTGGGCCTGGCCCGGGGGCTTCACCAGGAAGAGCTGCTCCGCCACCACCTGGTCCTCAGACTGCGCTTCTGTCTTGATGACCAGACCGGCACCACTACCTTCGGGAGGAAGGGACCAGCGCTGATCTGCTGCCCCCTCGCCCGGCCCAGGTGGGGCCCTCCAGGCAGGGCCGCAGCCGCCCGCCACCACTGCCCTGCCCCGCAGGGCCTGCACTGCACCCTTCCCCTTGCCGGGCTCATGCACGCAGGGAGCAGGGACCCTCCCACTCAGCCCCGCCCACCACACTGCCTCCTGAGGTCACCCAGTGTGGGGGGGGGGCGCGGAGAGCTAAGCCTTCAGGACACAGACTGGAGGAGACAAAGCTTCGAACCACCAGGAAGCCAGGAGGTCAGGGGTCAGACCTGGGAGACACACAGGCGGGAATGAAGGGGAGACAAGGACAGGCAGAGACCGGGACACCAAGACACGGATACGCCGCCCACGCAGGACCCCCAGGAGCTCTGATGATTTCAGTTCTGCCCCCCCCCCCCAAACCACAAGGAGCCCTGTGGGCCCTGGCTGCCCCAGACTGGGTGGCAGCCACACGCAGCAGAGGCCACCGCATCAAGGCCACACTGTGCGCCTGCCACCACCGGCACTGTGATCTCAGTGATACACAGAGGCATGAGGACCTGGGCTTCCCAGTGGGTCCCAGTGGGTCACACTTGAGTCTGAGACAGGACTGGGGCAAGGGAGCTCCCAAGGCCCAGAGGGGAAAGGGTGAAAGGGTGGGGCTAAGGAGACAGGAGTGAGGGGTCCCTAACACTGGGAGGTGGTCTTGGCTGCTGAGCCCACTAGAACACAAGGCATCCCCTCAGGGTCTCCGGCTGCTGTTCCTTTCTGGCTTCTCTGCAGTCAGTCAGTCCCCCCCCCCCCCTTCTCAGACTTCCCCCGGCACCTGGTGGCCTCAGCTGCTAGATCACAAGGTCTGTTCAAATGGTGACTGGGAACCCTGCCCTCTGCACATCACAATGAAAATCTTTAGCCCTTTATGAGCAACTTCCAAGGTCTAGGACCAGAGTAATTTCTGTCCTTGTGGAAGCTTGAATCTAACCCACAGGCCAGGTGGCCAGGGCACGGGGCACCTTCCCTGGTGGGCGTCCGGGACGGCGCCCAGTGGCAAGGCCCTGGGCCCTCTGCTCCTGCAGCTCACCCGTAACCCTCACTGTTATCTCAGACAGAACTTTACTTCCGTTAGAAGCGACCCACTGGTATTAATTTAGTCCTACAGCCCCAGAAGCAGTGTAAGAATGGTATACCTTTGGGGTGAGGTGGTGTTGCATTTAACGGGCTACAGAGATATTCCTGAACTTGGGGATTGGCAGTGGCTGTGAGGTCCTTCTGTCACCCGATCATAAACCGGGAAGCATGCGGCCAGTCCCCAAGCAGGCCTTCCAGCCAGGCCGGACCACAGGGAGGGAAGACCAGGGCCACAGAGAATCTGGGTCCCCAGAGCCCCAGGGAAACATTACCTGGGTGGCGAGGAAGCAACCCCCCGGGAGGAGACCCCTAGCAGTTCCCCTCACCCACTCCTAAAAGGCCCCCGAGCTCCTCTGAGGCTCTGCTGCGGCCACAGGGCTTCTGGCTTCACTTACCTGGTCCTGCGCCAGGCAGGAGGTCCTTGCCGGTGGAGGCTGGGGACTCCCCATCCGAAGACGCCTCTTCCTGCTTAACTGAGGACAAAATACTGGTGCTGGCCGGGGGCCCTGTGGGAGAGACGGACTCCTGTGAGGGTCCTTCCCGCCCCCAGGCTCCTGCAGGGTGACGCAGCCATTTCCCAGCAGGCCTGGATCTGCTCCGCACCCACCAGGACCACGGGTGGGGCACCCATTCCCTGTTCAGAGCACTGAAGCCTCCCCTCCCAGAGATGAGAGAAGAGCTGTGAAGGCCACGCCCTCCAGTGCCATCAACTGGTCCCTTGGCATCTGAGTGTCACCCTGATGGGCCTCAGATGCCAAAAGGACAGAGGGTTTGGGGAGGCCCCTGGGGCACAGTGCCAGGGCTGTGACAGAACAGGGACAATGGGCAGGCCCTACCTCTCTTTACACAGCAGCTGGGAAGGAGGGACACAGGGAAGGGAGGGGTGTCACCTCCAAGCTCAGGGAGGGGCAGAGAAATGACTGGGGACAAGGACCCAGAGTCTGAAAACTCAGGCTGGCAGAAGGGTGTGGGAATACAAGGGTGCAAAGCGCAGGCTGAAGACAGAAAACACGGCTCTGAATGGTCTGCCAGAGGCCGGCTAGTGCCCTCCGAATTACACTCCATTTCTGTGCGGGATGGACAGGCGTCTCCTTTCAACAGGGGCAGACGGAGGACACCGAGAAAGGCGACGGACACCACACAGCTTCTCCCGGGCCTTCCTTCGGAGAGACGGCCTCGCCGAGGTGCACACAGGCTGGCCCCGTGCTGGGCGGACACACACGCCTCCCCATGAATGCACCCACTGTCAGGAGCCCGGGTCTGTCCTTGTGTGCCTCTCCCCTCACTCCACACAGACCAGTGTGCCCGGCCGCCAACATGCCCGAGGAGCCCGCATCTCTGCTGGGACCGTCCCCCTGAGCCGCCATTCCCTGTGCTCCTCTATGGCCATCTCGGTGGCCCCTCTTCCCGGAAGCCTGTCCCGCTAAGCAGGGCTGGCCCCAGCCGTGCCCCCCCCCAGCCGTGCCCCCCACCCCCTTCTCAGCACCACTGGCCTGGTCCTGTGGCTGGGACGCCGGCCACACTGCTGCCCAGCCAGCAGGCCTCACTCACCTGTGCTTGTTCCCACCGGGGGGCCTCTTGCTCCTGAGTCTCTCTGGTCCTCGGGGGCCTGCCTTTCTCTGGGCCCCTCTGGGTCAGGCCTGACTGGGCTGGGGGCGTGGTCTGGATATGGAAGGAGAGCACAGACACACAAATCAGCAGCACTGAGAAGACAGGGAGGGCCCCCAGGGAGCCAGCAGCTGCTGGGAGATGACTCCCTGCTGTCACTGGGACCTGGGACAGCAGGTCAGACACAGGGGATGGTAATTAATGAATGTCACCGATCATCTCGTGACTACATTCTGGACTCGACCTATCTGCTAGCACCAGACAGGTCACACGACGGGGGCCGAGGATCTGGCTTTTCCAGGACTCCTGGCTCAGAACATCGCCACCCTGGCTCCCAATCCCAAGTCCTCCACCAGGGTGGCATGTAAGGGCGCCCTGGGGAGCACCCCCAACACTCTCATCAGCAGATCTGGGTGGGCCTAGGAAGTTCATATTTTTAAAAAGCTTCCTAGGGCAAAACAGATGAACAAATATTTCACAGAATAAGAAGTTAAAATGGCCCATAAACAAAAAGATACACAACCACATTCACAATGAGAGAGGCACCATTAAAACCACACTGTTACCAAAGCCTCAGAGACACTCCAAGAAAACTACAGGCCGATATTCCTTATGAACATCGAAGGAAAAGTCCTCAACGAGATGCTATCGAACCACAGCCAGCAGCCTATTAAAAGGATTAAACACCTCGACCAGACGGAGTTTGTTCCTGGAATGCAAGGATGATTCTATGTATGAACGTAGATCAACGGATTACAGAATGAAGGGGGAGAAACCAAGGAGATCTCAACTGATGCAGAAAAAGTATCGGACAAAATTAGACACCTTTACCTGACAGAAACACTCAACAAAGTAGGCACAGAAGAAAATGGCCTCAACATAATCAAAGCCGTGTGTTAGAAACCCACAGCGAACATCACATTGAATGGTGAAAAACTGAAAGCTTGTCCTCTGAGACTAGGAACGAGGCCAGAATGTCCACTTTCCCCACTTCTATTCAGCAAAGGGATGGAAGGTCTAGCCAGAGCAATTAGGCAAGAAAAAGAAATAAAGGCACCCAAGTTGGAAGGGAAGAAAGTTATTTGTTCACAGGTGATATGATCATATATGCAGGGAAGAATGAAAATCTACCAAAAAAAGTGAGGACTAATAAATGAATTCAGCAAATGAGCAGGCTAAGAAAAGTAAACATAAAAAGATCAGTTGCATTTCTATATAGTCACAATGAACAAGTTGAAAAAGAAATTACAAAAATAAGTCAGTCCATTTACAATAATACAAAAAAAGAAATACTTAGGAATAATTTATCAAAGAAGTGAGAGACTTTTATAATAAAAACTACAAAACATGGCTGAAATAATATTAGCCACCCCCCATGCACGGAGGGTATATCCAAGACTCCCCAGTGGATGCCTGAAAGCGCAGGTGGTACCAAATCCTCTACATTCTATGTTTTTTCCTTTATACACATGCTTATGATAAAGTTGAATATGTAAATTAGACATGGTAAGAGACTGACAATAATAACTAACGATGAAATAGAATAATTATATAATTTACTATCATAAAAGTTATATGATATAACTTAATCCTTTTACTTAAAAATAACCCTTTTACTTAACAATAGCATTGGGGCCATTATTAAGTAAAAAAAAAAGGGTTATTTAAACACAGCACTGTGACACCTTGACGGCCACTCTGATGACACAGACGGCTACCGAGTGACTCACGGGTGGGAAACACACAATGTGGGTACGATGGACAAAGGGGCGATGTCCCTCCTGGGCAGGATGCGGCAGGACAGTGCGAGACTTCCTCGCACTACTCAGCATGGCGGGTGATTTAAAGCTTATGAACTGTTCACTTCTGAAATTTCCCATGCAATATTTTCGGATCATGGCTGACTGTGAGTAACTAAAACCACGGAAAACAGTGGGTTAGGGAGCACTACTGCGAACACAAGTAAGCGGAAACACATCCCATGACCATGGATGGGTTGGAAGACTTAATATCGTTAAGATATCAATACTACCCACAGTAATCTAGAGATTTAAGGAAACCCTTATCAAAACCCCAAAGGTATGCTGGGGGGGTCAGAAATAGAAATATCCATCCTAAAATTCATATGGAATCTCAAGGGACCCCAAAACAATCTTGAAAAAGAAGAACAAAGTTGGATGACTTCCTGATGTCAAGGCTTACTACAAAGCTACAGTAATCAGAACAGTCTGGTACTGGCATAAATAGAACAGAGAACCAAGAAATAAACCCTCACAGATCTGGTCAAATGATATTCGAGAAGGGTGCCAGGACCACCAAATGGGGAAAGGGCAGGCTTTCAACAAACGTGGCTGGAAAACTAGATATCCATGGGCCAAAGCGTGAAGTTGGACCCTTATCTAACACGACCTGTAAAAATTAACTCACAGTGGACCAAAGCCTACACGTAAAACCTAAAATATAAAAGCCTTAGAAGAAAACACAGAACAAAAGCTTCAGGACACTGGACTTAGCAGCAATGCTTGGATGTGACACTGAAGGTACAGGCAACAGAAGAAACAGAAGACGAACTGGAGTCCGTGACAAAGTCAAAATCTGTGCATCAAGCCCTGACTGGTGTAGCTCAGTGTATTGAGCTCGGGCCTGAGAACCACAGGATCGCGGTTCGATTCCCAGTCAGGGCACATGCCTGGGTTGCAGGCCAGTTTCCTGCAGGCCAGTTCCCAGCAGGGGACGCACGAAAGGCAACCATACATTGATGTTTCTCTCCCACTCTCCTTCCCTTTCCCTCTAAAGATAAATAAATAAAATCTTAAAAAAATAATTTAAAAAAAATCTGTGCATCAAAAGTCATTATCAACACAGCTCCACACAACAGGAGAAAAGTATTTGTAAATCATCTCTGTGACGAGGAATTAATACACAGAATATATAGAGAATTCCTAAACAACAAAGCAACAAACAGGCTGACTCAAAAATGGACAAAGGACTTGAACAGACGTTTCTCCAAAGAAAATATTTCCATAAGCCAATGACAATCGTCAGTAAAGACCAGAAAAGAGCCCTGGCTGGTGTGGCTCAGTGGATTGAGTGCTGACCTGCAAACCAAAGGGTCACTAGTTCGATTCCTAGTCAGGGCACATGCCCGGATTGTGGGCAGGGTTCCTCAGTTGGGTGCACGTGAGAGGTAACCACACTTAGATGTTTCTTTTCCTCCCTTCCCCTCTCTAAAGAGTACCATATTTTTCAGACTATAAGACGCCCCCCAGAAAAAAATTTGGGAGGAATAATGGTTGTTAATGCTGCTGTTGAGTTCTGTTTACATTTACATTGGCGAGATATTATGTTATTAAATATTTTACCACATTTTTTGCTTCAAAATTTTTTTCCTATTTTTCTCCTCTAAAACCTACGTGTGTCTTGTAGTCCAAAATATATGGTAAGTCAATAAAATATTTTAAAAAATAAAGACATGAAAAAACTCTCAGCATCACTAACCATCAGGGAAATGCGAATCAAAACTACTACTTCACACTTATTATGATGACGACTCTTAAAAAAAGCAACAGAAAATAACAAGTGTTGACAGGAACACAGAGAAAGCCTGTGCACCGTTGGTGGGAATGTAAAACGGCACAGCTGCTGTGGAGAACGGCTTGCTGGCTCCTCCAAGAACTAGAACTAGAACCACTGCACCATCCAGCAACTCGGCTTCTGCTTGCAGACCTAGAAGAACGGAGGGCCGAGTGTCGGACAGACATCTGTACACCTGCATCTCAGCAGCGCGATGCACAAGAGCTAAGACACCGCAGCAGCCTGACTGTACATCGACAGAAGGGATAAGCCAAATGTGGTCTGTTCACGCAACGGGCTATTACTGCATATGATATTATCGCACCTGCAAAAGAAAGGAAATTCTGACACAGGCTAAATGTGGATGAACTGGAGGACATTGTGCTCGATAAAACAAGCCGGTCACAAACACACAAATACAGTATGATTCTACTTATAGGATGTCCTCAAATAATCACAATCATAGAATTGTGGGTGCCAGGACTGGGAAAGGGGCAGAATGGGGGGTTATTACTTAATGGTATAGAGCAACGGCTTTCGACTGGTGCTCCCCAAGAATGTTTACAACACGCAGTTCCCAACTGTTCAGTCAGGGGCACGGACTCTTTTTCCCTTACACAGTCGAATTAAAAAATGGCGACAGCCAACCCAACAAGAGCCTTCTGATGTGAATGAGTCAAAATTATACCTTTGGTCAGCCTGGTAAAAAATCTATTTTGGGGTGTGCTGCAGAGTTTTAGCGACTGGTTCATGTGTGCGTGAGATGAAAAAGGCCGGCAACCACCAGTGGACAGGAAGAGCCGTGGAGATGGACGGTGCTGACGGCCGCAAACCTTATGAATGTACTGTCTGTCTCTGAACTGGACGCTTGAACATGATTCAGGTGGTAAGGTTTATGTTCCATGCAGTTGACCACAGTAAGGAAAGAATAAATAAAGCATTGATACACAGTGCGGCGTGAATGAACCTTGAAGACACTATGCTCAGTATTTTGTTGGTTATGTTTAGGGGAGAAAAAGACACGGATAGAGCAAATGTGGCAAACTCTTTCTCTAGATTGAGAGAGGGGAAGAGAGGAAGAAAGAGAGGGAGAGAAACTTCCATCGGCTGCCTCTCACATGTCCCCAGTCAGGTACCTGGACCAAACTGCTCTGACCAGGAATAAACCTGGTGACCTTCCGGTTGGCAGGATGACGCCCAACCCACCGAAACACCCAGTCAGGGCAAATGTGGCAAATCCTTTATTTAAAAATATATATTTTTTTATTTATGTATTTTTAGAGGGAGGGGAAGGGAGGGAGAAAGAGAGGGACCAAAACGTCAAAGTGTGGTAGTCTCTTGAGTGCCCCCTACCTGGGACCTGGCCCACACCCCAGGCATGTGCCCTGACTGGGAATTGAACCAGTGACCCTTTGGTTCTCAGGCTGGCACTCAATTCACTGAGCCACATTAGCCAGGGAAAATGCAGCAAACTCTTGATTACTGTGGAGTTTGGGTCATGATCATCTGGAAGTTCACTGTACTACTCTCTACTTTCATTGATTTTTTAATAAATCACAGACGAGTTTTTTTTTTTTTTATACTAAAAAAACTCCCCATAAGATTCTGATATGAGGTCAAGTTTGGAACCACGGTTCTACACACACCGGCTGTGGGAATGAGGCCGGCCCCAGGCTCCCGTGGGCCATCCCCACAAAGGGAGGCCTGTGCGGTCTGGTCCAGGCCTTAGAGCTGCGCATCACGCAGGCGGGAGCGGAGGTGTGGGGGAACCAGGAGGTGGTGCCAACAGGGCCGCTGCACTACTAGTGGTACTGTTAGCGGTAAGTCCCCAACTACCCTAAAACGCTCTGCTTTACAAAGCCTGCCATCCCACGCAGTCCTCACCACCACCAGGCTGTGCACCTTCTTACACGGAGGCAGAAACCTTAGGGCCCTGACGCCCGGCACTCACCCATGGCCAGACGGCCTCGGCTAGGGCGTGCTCCGCCTCGGGTCACGGGCATGCACTGCCTTCCCGGCCTCCCAGCACACCTGGGAAGCCCAAGAGAACAGGGACACAGCTCTGAGTGCCCTGCCCATCTCGCTCCCACTCACCAGTGCCCGGCCTCTCTGGGCGAGCTGCCTCTCTCTCTTGCCCCTCGTCCTGACCCCACAGGCCTTCAGGACAAGGCTCCTCTCCCCTCTCCATCCGGGTGAGGATGTCCGGTTTGGAGATGGCGTAATCTGTGTACAGAACGGAGAGAGACAGCTGGGTCAGGGCAGGCCCCTGCCACCCAGGCCACCACTGAGATGCAGACTCCAGAGGAGCAGAAGCTGAAGCAAGGACACAGACTGCAGGAGGCCAGTCGGAGGACAGAGGCCCGGACGCCACTGCGGAGACTCACCCAGGGAGACCAGCATCTGGTAGTTGCCCCGCATCACATGCTTGTACAGCTCCTTCTGCCACTCGTCCAGCTTGCTCCACTCGAGCTCGGAAAAATACACGGCCACGTCGTCAAAGGTCACGGGTACCTGGAACCACAGGCATCGGGAAAGCTCACCCACACTTATAGGCACGGCCCTCCGGCCGGCCCACCCCAAGTGCCCGGGTTACCTTGGGGACCTCCCCCTTGCTGCCCGGGGGCATCCGCAGGACCCAGAAGTTCCTGTTCCTCAGCAGGTTCTCCATGTTCTCCAGCCGCCTCTGCAGCAGCCCGTACTCCTGCAGCAGGGTCTCCAGCGTGGCCCACTTGCCCTCGAGCTGGTTCCCGAGCTCTGAGGACGTCTTTTCAAAGTCCGCCAGCTTCTTCTCGGCCGACCCCGTCCGCCCCTCCAGAGTCAGCAGGCGGGCCAGACAGGAGTCCACTTTCTTCTCCACGGCCTGGACGGCAGCCACCACGGTCCACAGTGTGATCTCCGTGGAATAGAGGTACGAGTTCTTCTCGGCAGCCGGCTGGGGCGAGGGAGGAGGCGTGGAAGGCCTTCTGTCCCCTGTTTGCTTGTCCCTCTCTGGGGCCTGTCCACGAGAAGAGAAAGGGAAAACGTTATCAGAATTGTACAATGGAGATGTCTACCTCACCAAGAAACCTGAGGGCCAGTCAGGCAGCTGTGTGGGGGATGGATGTGGGGACATCAATTACAAGTCCAGCCTCAGGGACAGGGGACACTGGCTGGACAGAGCTATTAGCAAGTGGGAAACAGAGAGAAGAACATGGCCAGAGAGAGAAGAATGTGTGGCCTCGGACAGGGGACTTCCTACCCGAGCCTGAGTCCCCTCTGAAAGAGAAGGGACAGGCTTGGCATGCGGCACAGAAAACACGAGCTCAGCCAGCGTTCAGCCAGCCTGGGTGCCCCCGGCAATTGCGCCACTCGCCTGCTGGCTAACTGTGGGCAAGGTTTCTCAGATATCTTTCAATGTCCCCTCCAACGTCCCCTCCACATCTAGAGAATGGAGCTAGTAACAGTATCTACCAGACACGGCTGCAAGAATCAGTAACAACATTTGGTAAAAAGCATTCAGCACCGTATCTACCGGGGCGTCCGAACTTCCGGCGTCTCAGGGCCACACCGGAGGAAGAATGTCGTCTTCGGCCACATGTTAAGTACACACAATCACAATACAAATCTCAAATGAATTTACGATTTCCTGTTGGGCGGCACCCACAGCCGTCCTGGGCTGCATGAGGCCCTCGGGCCCCGGGGCTGGACGCCCCCTCTGTAAATGTGAGCCTGTGCTGACCCAGCTGAGACAATGGTGATGACAACGTTGAGGACGGGATGGTTCTGGCTCAGGGACGCGGTGGGAAGGGTGCAGATGGCGTTCTGTTTCACCTCTCAGTCAGTACCTCGGAAAAGGGCTTAGAAAGTGCCTCCCGGCCCACCGTGGTGTCCGACCATACACCTCCCTGAGCGTGTGCGAGGGCTTCGGTCCCAGCTCCTCCTCTCTCTAAAAGGCTCGTTGGAATGACAACTTGACATCTGGGCCCTCCATCCCTTTGTCTCCTCTTCTACCACCATTGCCTCATCTGAGCCCCTGTGTGGTAGCCTGAGTGGCTGTAGTCCTGCCCGGCTGTTGTCCCACTTCCTCCCCCTCTCCGACACCATGCTCCCCTCCGCCCCCCTGGGCCTAGAACGAAACCGAAACCTCTTATCAGGCCGCGGCCTATTTCCCTGACCCAGCCTCCTTCTGGGCACTGACCCCTCTCCAGCCGCCCTGGCCTCTTTGGGCTCCTTGGACATACCCAGCTCCCCGCCACCTCTGCATGGGCCCCCCTCCACCCGTCTGCACTCCTAAGTCCCTCTCACACAAACCCCCAGCACAGACATCACCTCACAAGGATCGTCACATGTAAACCAGGGCCATGTTAATCCCTTCCCCTGTAGCCTGAATAACCTGTGACAACTCTGCCTGCCTGTCTGGGGTTCAGTGTCCCCACAAGCTCCATGTGTAGGTGCAGGTGCTGATCACCGCTGTGTCCCCAGGTTCCAGGAGTGTCCCGCTCACACGGATGCCCAATCAGTGCCCACTGAATGAATGAATGATGAAATGATTCAACGACACACTCGTGAACAACTACTGGACACCTGTTGGCGTAAAAGCATAGCGGGGATGCGGGAAGAGCCCAGGGTTCTTCCTTCTCCAGGAGAAAACTTCTGTATAGAAACAGTCATAATAAACCAGGCTGATACCCACAGGCTAACAAGACTTGAGGGCAAATCTGTCCTGTTTGGGAACTTTTCTCGCAATCCCGGGTAATGCAAGTGGACAGAGGGAAAGAAGCGGATGGATAGGAACGGTCAGAAAGACCACTCAGGTCCTGGGCCACGTGGGAGCTGAAGACCCACCCCTGCAGCTAGAGAAAGGCCATCCTGGGGCTCTCCCCAGCGGGCAGGGCATAACCCTGCAGAACTGCCACCCCATGTCCCCCTACCCCACCCTCCCTGCCCTCAGACCTAAGGGAAGGGCTGGAGCATCTGGAAAAAGCAAGGTTGCAACAACTCCACTCCATTATTGGCACAGACTGAGAACAGTAGATACCATTTCTGGAGCTCTTTACCCGTATTCCTACTGTGTCCAAACAGCCGAAGGATCGCTCTCTCTGATTTGTGCATCCAGAATATTATCAGCCAATATTCTAAAATGTACTAAAAGAATCTTAAAAAAAAAAAAAAAAAAGACCCCAAACCCACACCTCCCGTCCCTCTGGCAAACAGCCTTCGCTCAGCAGCACCGCCCCACACACAAGCAGAACGCTGGGTGCCGTAAGGGGGCTGCAATTCCAAAGCCTTGGCCTGGCCTCGACCCCCTCCCTGCCCTCCCCGCCTGCCTCGGGGCGCAGGGCCCGCGGCGAGACAATGGGCGGGGAGCCGGGCCCTCCGTTCAAAGGCGCGGCCTGTCACCCAAAGTGTTACTGGAACGCGGCTGCTCCCCGACGCCTGGGCCGCTCGCCGGGCCTGGCGTTTGGGCCGCCCGGTCGCTCGGCCAGCAGGCGGCGCGGACGCGGACGAGGGCGGCGGCGGGGCGCTTACCCGGTCCGGCGCCGCCTCGGCCATGGCTGCCCGCGTCCCGCTCCCGGGTGCCCGGCTCGGGCCGCTGTCAGGCCTGGCGGACGCGCGGGCGGCGGCGGAGGCAGAGGCGGAGCGGCCCAGCCCCGGAGCGCCTGGCCCGCGGCCGCGAGCTGCGTCCGAAACGCGCGCCCCGCCGGCCCTTTAAACAAGAGCTGCGCCCGCGGCCCGGCCCGGAGCCGCGCACAGCGCCCCCTGCAGCCCGAAGGACCGCACGCGCGGCCCTGCGTCCCCACGGCCGCGGGGGCCACCCGGGGCGCGGCGTGGGTGTTGGCCGCCCAGCCCCGCCTGGGCCGCGAGAGTCAGCGCCGTCGCGTGGGCGTGGGCCACGGGGCGGGGGTGGGGCGCATCCTCTGCAGGACGGCGGGGTGGCCGAATCAAACCACCGCGCAAACTTTTCCACACTTTGGGAGCCCCCTCGCCCCTCCGCAGCTGGGGAAGTGCGCAGGCCTCGCCGCCAAGCTCAAGGGCGTATAGAGTCACCGGCCTAACGCCTCTGCTGCACCCAAAGGTGAGAGGGGACTTAAGAGTTGGAAAATGTTATTTTAAGTAACAGCTAATAAGCCTAGTAATCAATGCACGTAAAAGCTTTCATTCCAGGAACTGAAGGGATGACCCACCCTGACTCCAGGAGGCCATAAGCAGCCCCACCTTTGTTCCTAGGGAGGACCGCAGGCAACTCAAGATGGCATCTGAGCCGTTGTGCCCCAGGGGGAGATGACCACCTCCAGGCACACAGCTAAAGACCACCGCCTGGGGCACAGCTTAAGACCACCACCCAGAGAGAGAGAATGCTGAAGTTTTTTTGTTGTTGTTTTAATTCAATTAACTTTCCCCTGTATTCCAAACCCCTTACCTACACTTTGTTCTCCTTATTAAAAAGGGCAATTTTAAAGTGGAATTTAAGATCGTCTGTTAGGGTACGAACCTGCCATCTTTTCAGATCGAGGGCCATCTGAATAAAGCGCCCATAAAGATTCAATCCCTGTCTCTGCTTATTGGGTTTGGTAGTGACAGGCAGCTCAGACTCCCGGGTCTTTTCCAGTTTCAAAGGATCAGCTCGATGCCCAGGGAAAAAACGTGGGGGTGGATAAAGGTTTTAAAACTTCTTTTTCTGTTTTCCAGAACAAATAGAAAGACCTCAGAAAAAAATTTAATTCATTTAAAACAAACAAAAAACCCCAGAAGAAATCCTCTGTCTCTCCCCAAAAACGCTCGGGGAATCCGGTGTCTCCGCCCCTTACCCTGGGGCCTACCTCCCAGCAGAACCCCAGAAGTCCTCTGTGCCACACTGTGGACCCCCCAAAAAGGGGGGCCACAGACTAGCCTGACAAGCTCAGGGGAGGTCTGCACTTGAGTCCTATGTAGGACCCAGAGCTAAAGCAACCACAGTAGGGTGGTCTGAAATGAAAACTTTGTAACCAAAAGCGGGTTAGGAAAGGTAGTTACCCCCTAGGTCCCTATCTCCCCTGAGGAAGGACAATCTTCACATTAACTGAGCGTCTATTGTCCTTTTGCATCTAAGACAACATACCTTTGGAATGGCAGAGTGATATCCTTTTTTCTGGACTCCTTCCTGTACCAGAGACCACACAGCCCTTCATTGTATTGTTATCATGTTAATTGTTGTCTAGTAACTATGCTTCACCCATCTGTGTAAAAGAAGCCTGTCTATTCGTTTTACTTTGTTTCCAATCCCAGAGGTCCCCCGCCCCCTCCCCTTAGCTTTCTCCCACTTGTGCAAATTTCTCCAAGGCCCTTCCGCCTCCTCCCGTGATTATAATACATAAAACAAGGGGCAGAACTGCCATTCTCTGGAGCATTTCTCAGTTGGCTGAGACTTTACTTCCGGACAATTGTTGGCAGTTTGGCTCAGATAAACTCATAAAAACTCTTCACAGGTTTACACATTTTCCTACATTGACAACATCCACTCTTCCCTCCAGCACTGTGGGATGGGCTTGGCAGCAAGAGCAAATCCACCGCTAATTCAGGTCCTGAATAAACTGACCCCGGAAAAGACACCAGAGTCCGGGCTGCCTGGCACTACCAAACCCAATAAGCAGAGACAGGGATTGAATCCTTATGGGTGCTTTATTCAGATGGCCGGCGATCTGAAAAGATGGCAGGTTCATACCCTAATAGACCATCTTAAATTCCATTTAAAAATAGCCCTTTTTTATAAGGAGAACAAAGTGTAGGTAAGGAGTTTGAAATCCAGGGAAAAGTTCATTGGATTCCGCATTCTCTTTCTGGGTGGTGGTCTTAAGCTGTGCCCCAGGTGGTGGTCTGTAGGTGTGTGCTGGGTGAAGGTCATCTCACTCTGGAGTACAATGGCTCAGATACCATCTGGATGGCTTGCAGTCCTCCTGAGGAACAAAGGTGGGACTGCTTATGGTCTCCTGGAGTCAGGGGGAGGGTCATCCCTTCAGTTCCTGGAACAAAAGCTTTTCTATGGGAATTACTAAGCTTATTAGCTATTAAACTAAAATGTTTAAGTCTCCTATCAAAATCTAGGACTCATTCTTCCTCATTTGTAAAGAGCCTGACTGTGGAACACCAGAGTTAATCACTGAATACAGTGTGAAGTGTGCTTGGTGTACCCAGTGTGAGTTTTATTTTCCACCTTTTCCACACTACCCATTCATCTCAAAATCTTTGTCCAACGAGCCCCTCAGCTCTTCTGTTTGCATTGGGCTTGAATTCTTATTTTCTAAGGTCACACCTTACTGGTATTTTATAATCCTTGAAGTATTTGGTCTGACCAATTCCTGATGAGCTCCTAGTGTAAACCAAAATTAATTTTAGCCTGTAATAAAGAGTAAAAAAAAAAAAAAAAGGCAGTTATTTGAGCAAAAAGGAGCAGCAGCCCTGGAGACACGTTCAAAGGCGGCAACCCACCCAAACTGTGTTCCTCCAAGACAGAGGGAAGGTCACTTTCCACAGTGAACGTTCCCGCCCAGGCTCTCAGGTGGGTCCTTTCTATGCCAGACGTCCTTTGTGCAGTTCTGATACGGCAGGTCTCAGTCTGTTAACAGAAGATGAGTCTGCGGTTTTCCCTGCAGAGGTTGACCCAGTGCAGACAAGCAGGGGGATGGCGCAGGACACTCAGTGTCCAGTCTGAGGTTCTCCCTTCTACACAGCGTTTGCGAGGAGCCCCATCAGCAAATGGCTACTAGGCTCTTATTTATGAAAGTTGGGCCTTCGCTTGACCAGACAGGCGTCTCAGCAGATGAATTCTGTCTGGGGTTCGCAGCAAACGAACCTTCCTTCTCAGGGCCCACAGTAGGGATACTGTCAGCACCTCCAACGCTCATTTGCAAACTGTTAGGCTGCGTGACTTCAAGGGATTTCTCAATGAACAACATCATATATTCATTTGGCCCCTTGTTACCTTGAACTAGCACTTCCTAACCTTGTCCCACACTTCAGAGGTGTACTTGGAGAAAGTATCCGTTTTTTCCTGCCCAGAGGGGGAAAGCTGAGGAGAGAAAGATTTAGCAGAGGGAGACCTGAAGCGGAACCAAGGCCCCCTTTTCTCCTAGAAGCTGACCCTTGTCTAGGCAACAGGGAGCTCCTTGTTCTGTGAATTCGCCTCATCGCTGTTCGTTCAGTCAATGCGTGGTGGGCACCGTGGAGAAAAGCCCCTGTGGTTGGAGTCGGGAGTCTGGATACAGTGGAGACACGGTCCCTGCCTTCAGAAAGGGACCTCCTCCTACTGACTCTGTCTTGTCGATCTTGGCCACCTCTCCTGTCCACTGTTCTCTTCCTACTGCTGCTGTACCCTGGGCTTTTGTTTGCTAGCGATTTTATTTATTTATTTTAGAGAGGGGGCTAGGATGGGAGAAAGAGAGGGAGCGAAACATGGATGTGTGAGAGATACTTCAGTCGGTTGTTTCTTGTACACACCCCAACCGGGGCCTGAACCTGCAACCCAGGCACGGGCCCTGACTGGGAATCAAAGCAGCAACTTTTCACTTTGCAGGATGCCGCCCACCCACCCGAGTCACACTGGGTCCGCGTTCCTACTGGCTCCTGCTGGTCTCACTTAGAAACCTTCTAACGTCCCTCCACCCCCAAAGCAACAAAAAAACACAATATAACATGTATGAGGTTAATATTCCCAAATCGCAGCTAGAGTCAGGCCACCCTTTAGCTCAAAACTCTCAGCTCCCCGTCACTGACGCAATAAAACCCAAACTCCTTGGCCTGACCTCAACCTCTTTCCAACCACGCCCCCCAGGACCCCCTCCTCACACCCCACCTTCTAAAGGGATGTCCAGCTGTTTGGCGTCTCTGGGCCACCCTGGAAGAAGAGTTGTCTTGGGCCACCCATTGAATACACAAACACTAACGAACACTGATGAACTACAACAACAAAAAAGGTTGTAAGTAAATTTACGATTTTGTGTTGGGCCGAAGTCACAGCCATTCCCGGCTGCGTGCAGCTCACCGGCTGCAGGCTGGACATGCCCGTAGCCAAATCAAAGGAAGTGGCGTTTATCTGCACACACCGTCACGTCTCCTATTTGGGCCGTGTTGCTCCACTTAGAATGTCCTCTTCCCATCTTTGGAGGGCCAGTTCCACAGTCACCTCCCGTAAAACCTTCCCCACTGGCCCACAAGTCACTGTAACTGTTCTCTGCATCCTCAGACCGTTAGCCTCCCTTGGGGCATATCCTGTTCTATCTTGCATTAGATTCCCCGAACAGCCCGGGGACCCGAGGGCGGAATCTCTGACTCCCCCTTGTGCCCCTGCGTAGGCTTGGCACACAGAGGCCACTCGTATTTGTGAGTGAACAGACTGGCAGGCAGACGGAATACGGGCTGGGCCGGGAAAGCGCTGTGCAAACGTGCACACAGGGAGAAGTGGATTTTGGTAGAACTTCACCAGGACAAAGAGCTTTGTGCCCTGACGTATCCCTAAGCATTTAAAACAGCGCCCAGAAAATAGATGCTCAGTATATATATACTTGTTGAATAAAAATTCTTAAAAAATGAGCCCTGTCTGGTGTGGCTCAGTGGATTGAGCTTGGGCCTGCGAACCAAAGGATCATGGTTTGATTCCCAGTCAGGGCACATGCCTGGGTTGCAGGCCAGTTCCCAGCAGGGGACGCATGAGAGATATTTCTCTTCCTCTCTCCTTCCCTTCCCCTCTAAAGAGAAATAAATAAAACCTTTGAAAAAATGGAGGAAGCTTTCACAGGAGGAGGTTACAAATTCAATCGTGGAAAAAGAAACAGAATTGGGTTCACAGGGAAGGCCTTCCTGGGAGGGGACGCAGGGGCTGAATGTGGACATGGGGAAGTCCTGTGGCCTGAGCAGCCCACGGTGGCTGCTTTGGGTGGGTTGGACGTGAGTGGAAGCTGGCGGAACCCAGAGGAGGTTAGGTTGTCGGGGTTGTGAGTTCTACTCTACAGAGCTGGCCCTTCGGCAGGGCCGGTGAGACGCATCTCAAGGCTTTGGGGAAAGCCCGCGTCCAGTTTGCGTCTGGGACAGGGATTCCGGGGGCACACGGGAGGGAGGAGAGGGAGGAGGCCGGTTAGGCGGAGTAGTTCAGGGGGTGACAACGAGGACCCCCCCCCGGTGGAGCAGGAAAAAGGAGACAGGCCAGACGAGCCCCTGATGTTCGGCTTTAATTCTGCCCTGTGTGTGGACTTGGTTCCAGCCCATTTGGTCAACCTTGGACTTCCCACAGTCCCGTTGCCAGTTTCCTTCCCAGCGCCTGGCCGAGCAGGCTTCCCGTGAAGGACGGCTGAAGGGGGCAAGAGGCTGGTGTTCTGGGTCACTCAGGGACAGCGCCTGTGTGTGCAGAAGTGACCTGCAGCTCTTGTGAAAAGGCATCAGACACTGCACGCACTGTGGGTAACTTGGAACCCGACCTGGACACCAGGGACTTCCCTGTGGGCTACAGAGCCCAGACCACGGCCTGAAAGGTCACCGGTACACTTCCCGGTCAGGGCACACGCCTGGTTGCAGGCCAGGTGCCCGGCTGGGAGGCTGTGCGAGGCAGCCAATGGATGTTTCTCTCCCTGTCTACCCCTCTGCCTTTCTTCTCTCTCTGAATATAAATAAAAATCTAAAAATACTTTTTTAAATTTATTTTTAGAGAGGGGGAGGTAGGGAGAGAGGTTAACACTGATGTGAGAAATATCCATCGGTTGCCACCTTTGGCTCCCCAACTGAGGGCCAAACTCAAAACCCGGGCATGTGCCCTGACTGGGAATCGAACGGGCGACCTTTCACTTTGCCTACAGGATGACACCCAAGCAGCGGAGCCGCACCGGCCAGGCCGCATCTATTTATTGTCTTTGTTCCTTTGGTCCCCAATCCCACTCGCTCCTCCCACAGGGGACTGTAACGCCTTTAACATGTAACTCGCCGTCTCCATTCTGTTCTGCTTTGTGGACGTAGATGGTGTTGTTGTGGATCTCATTCAATTTCTCGCATTCCCGCCCAGCACTGCAGGTTTAAGGTCGGCAGATGAGACTACACAACTAGAGTACGGAAGTCGGTTCTCCCAACGGCTCCCCGGGAGCCCCTGGGGCCCTGGCCTCTCTACCTGCTGTGGCCAACGACCAACACGCAGAATGTCTGTGGCCCTTGACCCCTGTGCACAGGGTCCCAAACACACCCCCCTCTCGCCTGCTCTAGGTCTGAGCCGGGCCTCTGTCTCCTCTCCAGGTCAGATGCCACCTCTTCCCCACTCCCACGCAGGTCTTCCTGACACCGGGAGAAAAACACCCGACACGAGCACTTTTCCTTTGCCAGTAGCAAGTTTTATTCTAAGCAACTGCCAAGTCATCAAAAGGGACACTCACCCAGGAGCCAGGAGCCCACCCAGAAGCCGTGTGCTTTTCCTCCATCAGCTCCGCAAGGGTCCGTCCCAGAACTAGTCTGGAAAGTGTCACCTGAACGACCTCCGGGAATCACTGGTCCAACAGGCACGAACTCAAATAACCACTACACAAGCTGAACAGCCTTAAGTAACAAGGGAGTCGTCCACCCCGTGAGGCCGTGGAACCCGGCAGGGAGCGGATGGAGGGGCAGGAGCCGAGGCAGAAACCCCAGCTCCCAGCTCCCAGGAGGAGGCAGCAATTCGTGCACCAGGCTCTTCGCTCTCGCTGGGGCGCTCGGGGGTCCACCCCTGCTGCTTTCTCCCTCTCGGTTCTTTTGATTCAGTGAGCCCCATCCGAGAGTGCTAAGACCCCCCACGATATGGAGCCCTGCGATGCCCCCTGACCCCTGGACCCTGGCCTGAGTGTGGGTGGGCGAAAACAGCCCCGGAAACAGTTCCCTCCCGGATGGCAGGCCAGAAGTTGTTAGGAACAACTTCTACAGCTCTGGAGACTTGGAAAACAAGTGTTGGGCTGCATATTAGTTTTTTAAATCAACTAAAATCTAATTCCAGAAAGGTTCTCCAGAGCAGGGTGAGCGCTCATTTAAATTATTTTTCTACTTGTTGTTAATAATAAGGAGACTACAAAAGGGCAAACGTGGTTATGCTCCCCAGAGCTCTTCTGCACACCAGCTCACCCCTCTGGCCTGGCCCCGCCCCGCGGGGAGGCCTGAATCGCTGGGCCGGGCCCTCAAACCCACCCCAGACCACGCGCATCGGTGTGGGTGGGGAAACCCGAGACGTGAAGGTGCCGACGACACGGCCCACTCAACAGCAGGGCAGACATCGGGGGCAGGCCGGGCCCCACCCCGCTCCACACGGTTTCGGGGGCGCGGCTCGGCCTGTCGCTTGGCCAAGGTTAGGCAAATCAAAGCGACTCCCCTCAGGAAGAAGCCAGCCCCTGACTCCGCACAGCGTCTCTTCGGGAGACCACTGCCAGCCCCCTCGGCCCCCCCGGACAGGCGAGGGGCTGGCACCCTTAAAGCAGGCCGCTGGGCCTCCCGGGCTCCGGAGCCAGCCCGCCACGCTCCCGCTGGTGGATCTTCTGGTGCTGCAGCAGGTGCTGCTTCTGCACGAAGCTCCGCTCACACTCGGGGCAGGTGTAGGGCCGCTCGCCTGTGTGGATGCGCTGGTGCCGCACCAGATCCGATGGGTGGCTGAAGCTCTTGCCACAGTAGCCGCAGATGAGGGAGCTCCGGCTTTTCCTCCAGGGGATGTGGCCCGGCAGGGCGACCAGGCTGTTGGGCGAGAACCTCTCCTGGACGCGCTGACCGCCACTGGGTCCCTCCTGCAGGTGGCAGCGCTGGTGGGTCACCAGGCTCACCCTGCAGCTGAAGCTCCTCATACAAATGTCACACTGATGCTGTCTGGTCCTCTTGGACTGGGGCTTCAGCCGCGGCCTGGGCCTGAGGCTCTCTTCCGGCTCCGGCTCTGGCTCCGGCTCCGGTGCCGGCGCGGCAGGGGGCTCCCACCCCGAGTGGGTCCGCAGATAGGTGGCCAGCTGCTGCTCGCAGCGGTAGCTGAGCTCGCACTCGGGACACTCGAAGGGGCCAGGAAGGTCCCTCGGCAGCTTCAGGCCCTGCCCGCACTCCTGACCCAGCTGCGCCGGCCTGCTGGACTTCTGCCTCGGGGGGCAGCCCAGAATTCTGTCGCTGCCGGGGCCCCTGCTGCCGTCCACGGGCTCCTCGAGAGTCACGTCCCTGGGGTCTGATTCCAAGAGGACAGACGCGCCCTGACCGTTCCAGAGCTCAGTCGGCACGGGGCCCAGGAAAGCCTGCTCTTCCGCCAGGCCCGGGAACTCCCCGGGAAGGGCCTCCGAGCGCTCCTGTCCCTGGGGGGACTCTACCTCCTGCTTGATCACGACCCCTTCAACTGCCAAGACAAAGAGAACCAACAAAAAGGGATCACATTCTAATACCTCCAGAGCCAGACACACACATCTGTGAATTCCAGAAGGGCTCACATCAAAGGATCGAGGGACTTAGAACAACTTGGAGAATGAAGAGACGGACTGGCTTCCAAAACCTGAAAAATGTAACCTTTACTCAAGTAGAGACACGTCGACTGGAAATCTGACTACATTATCCTTTTTTTTTTTTTTTTAAAGATTTTACTTATTCATTTTTAGAGAGAAGGGGAGGGAGGGAAACATCGATGTTTTGATGTGTGAGAGAGATATCACACGCCCCCTACTGGGGACCTGGCCCGAAACCCAGGCAGGTGCCCTGACTGGGAATCGAACCGCTGACCTTTTGGTTCACAAGCCAGTGCTCAATCCACTGAGCCACACCAGCTAGGGCAGAATATATTATTCTCACAGAACAATGTTATATAGTTCTCCAAGCTTGTCCACAAATTTGTATTTAATCTCTGAAAAATGGCTCAAAAGATTGCAAAAGTGTACTAATTTAGGAGAGTATTAGAGTAATAGATAAGATTTTTAAAAAAGCCTAAGCCTACAGTTTAAACATTCATGTGTCCACCTCTGTCCTTTCTGCCCACTCCTGCCAAACAACCCAGCTCACAGACGCGTCTCCTGCCTCTCGCCCGGCCAGCCTCCCCGAGGCCGACCAGCCCCGCTCCGAACGCGCTGTGGGTGTGGATGGTCTATTACGTGCGCTCCTCTGCGGGCACGAGGAAGTCCGACGTGGTCGTGAATCTCAAGGGCTCCACACAGCGGTGAGGAGTTAAGATACCCACGCGACGGCTGAACGAATGACCGTCAGGAAAGAGCCCAGAACAAGCCACGGTCACAAGAGGTCGCTGGTCATCAGTGCTTGGCCGTTCAGCAGTTCGGAGAAAGCTCGCAAAGCGCTGCAGGCAGTGGGGAGGGGGGCAGGACATTCTGGAGCCACTCACCCGGGTGGACGCCCCCGAGGCCTTCCTCCTCCAAGTCGCCCAGCATCTCTGTGCCCAGGTCCGCGTCTCCTTCCGGCTGGCCAAGGACCTCTGGGGTGGAAACGGCACGGAGTGAGTCTGGGAGCGCAGAACGCACTGCACACCGGTCACTTGCCCATGAACGCGGTGACCAGTGTCAAGGAGTCAATATGAAAACTCTGTAAGGTTCGAAGTATTGTTCTTGTCACCTCCCCCAGCGGTTTGAGACCATCAGAAAGTTACGGCTGATGTACTTGGCTACCAGCCCCTCGGGCTCCTTCTTCATCAGCCACTTGTGGCTCCGGCCACCGGCCGCCGGAGCCCCCACTCACCTCCCCAACACCACCGCGCCCTCACGTGCCCACGGCTTCACGTGCTGCTCCCTTTCGGGGGTCTGAGTCCACCGGTGCCACCGCACTGAGGCCCAAGCAGGCCTGTCACAGACGTGGCAGCAGCCGCAGGCAGAACACGTGACCCAGCCTAGGTCACTGTGACCTCTCTGACCCGCTTGCTACCTTCCCTCCCTCCTCCACTGCGCTCCCGTGGCCTGCTTGACAAGCCTCCTCGGACCTGGGTTGTCAAAGATTTTATCTACCAAACAAAATGCGCAAACAAGGAGAGAGCCAGTAACAATGTAACAATAAGAGATACAGGGTCTGCAGAAGGAGGGCCTGTGTGAGGGTGGCTGGGAGGGTGATAACGTGGTGGGTGTGATAATTTACAGTTTTTAAAAAATATTCATTTATCTTTAGGAAGGGAAGGAGAGAGGAAGGCAAGGAGAGAGGGAGAGAAATATCAATGTACAGTTGCCTCTCATGTGTCCCCTACTGGGGACTTGGCCCACAACCCAGGCATGTGCCCTGACTGGGAATCAAATTGGCGACCCTTTGCTTCGCAGGCCCGTGCTCAATCCACTGAGCTACACCAGCCAGGGCATAATTTACAGTTTTAATCTGAACATTTCACCTGAAATGTCACGTGGTGTGCTTGAGTATGACAGTGCTGTGTGACAGAATGATGTGCTATTATTTTGTAATAAAAACGGGCCTTATTCGTCATGCTGGGCCCTGTACTGACTCCAGGTCAACACGAACGTAAATCCCGAGACCACTGGCTGGGATTCCAGCCCAGGGCCAAGGGCAACTTTTCACTCCGGTGTGTAACAAAGGATTTCTTATCAAAGAGTCTGCAGTATTCTCAAAAGCTGCACGAGGAACCCCAGCCACGCTGTACTATAGATAAGATGTGCCACGAGCACCTTATCTCCTGGTAGATATTGTCAGATCCGACCACCGAGAAGCAACACCCTTGTACGCAGAGGACCCGAGACTCCCATTTCCCAGCCCGGCCTGGGCCAGGGACGGCGGGCCCTCCGAGAGCATTCTCGGGAAGAAGCTGCCACTCACTCAGAGAGACCAGAGTCTCGTAGTTGCTCATCATCACGTTTCTGTACAGCTCCTTTTGCCAGTCCTCCAGATTCTCCCACTCCTGCTCCGAGAAACAGACGCCATCGCTGTCCAGTGCCCGCGACACCTGAAATCACAGGTGCCACACAGTGAGCGCTCCCCATCTCAGCCAGGCGGGAAGAACCAGCAACTGAGAGCTACATAGAGGGACTACCTTGGGGGCCTCCCCCGCGCTGCCCGGGGGCAGCCGCAGGACCCAGAGGTTCCTGTTCCTCAGCAGGTTCTCCATGTTCTCCAGCCGCCTCTGCAGCAGCCCGTACTCCTGCAGCAGCGTCCCCAGCACAGCCCACTTGCCCTCCAGCTGGTTCCCGAACTCCAAGGTCATCTTCTCGAAGTCGGCCAGCTTCTTCTCCACCGTCTCCATGCGCCTCTCCAGGCTCTGCAGCTGGGCGGCCTGGGCCTCCACCTTCTTCTCCGCGGCCTGGATGGCGGCCACCACGGCCTGCAGCGGGAGCTCCGGGGGCTGCGGGCAGGAGCTGTCCTCTGGCGCTGGCGGAGGCGGTGGGGAGGAAGCCAGGGGGGTGGCGCGGCGCTTCCTCCTGTGCTGAAGAGGCAGACCCAGGGACGGTCAGCAAGGTCAGCCGGCCTTGCTGCCGACCATCGGGCGAAGAACACCACGGCCCAGGGGGGCCAGCGGCGCTCAGACCTGGTACCGAGCCACCGGGCCGGGGCAGGATTCATTTTTCTCATCCAATTCTTTCTGTTTGATACTTCAGGCTATTTGGGATATTTTGTTATGGTAAGGGACATAATTTACATCTCGTCTGGACTCCACACTGCTGTCTGACTTCCCAGGCGATCACGCCCCCCCTCGCTAGCAACCTCCCAGCAGCCCCTTACCGTAAAGACCCCTCAGCAGGACCCGTGAGACTCAACTCACTCCTCTCTGCACCCCAGCAGCTAATGTAATATGCAAGTGACACTTACTAAATGACCCTCCTTCACAGGCACTCACTGGAATGACCTAAGTCCTCTGACATTCCTCTTACACGGCTCATTGTTGCGGTCTTGTCCCCGAGAGTAGGAAACTCACTGTGGCTGAAGCTCCAACTGTCTTCTCAGCCCCGCTGCCCCAGTGCAGGTCACCCCTCAGTCCTGACCCCCCAAAGTGTCGCTCCTTTTTTTGTGGCTGCTTCTCTCACGTGAGACCAAGCCCCCAAGGAGGAAAGTGTTTACTGGCCATCCAGCCTGCTCAAGTCTTACACCTTCACCTTTCCGGTTAGCTGACATTTCCTTCCTGTGTCCTAGAACTTGGCTGTGAATCCTGGACTCTATCTTTATCAGTATATACTTGCACTTTGCAAATATCTTCTCATTTTTTTTACTCTCTTTAGTATCATTTAATAAAGTCCTTAACTTTAATGGAATTAAGTTTTTACCAGTATTAATAATTTAATGATTTGAACTTTTATGCCAGGTTTAAAAAAAAACTACAACTGACAATAGTCTTCCAAATACTCCACGGCACAGGTGGCCAACACAAGGCCCAAGGGCTGAACCTGGCCTTCCACCTTGTTTTATCCAGCCTGGCACTTTGTTTCTACCTGGCAGCTGAGCACCGAGCTCCTTGCCCCTAGTTAAGGAGCAGTTACATTTACATAGTCCTAAATTACATTCAGCCCTTTGAAGGCAATTGCGAGGCTGATGTGGCCCCCAGTGAAAATGAGTTTGACGCCCGTTCTGGAGAGAGAAGGAGAAAGAGGAGAGAGAGAGAGAAACATCAACTGGTTGCCTCTTGTACACACCCCAACCGAGGATCAAACTTGTAACCCAGGTGTGTGCCCTGACTGGGAATTCAAACTACAACCTTTTGTTCTACAGGAGGACTCTCCAACCAACTGAGCCACTGGGCCAGGGCAAGACAATTTCTTCTTATTCTATTATTCCCCCTTTTATTTTGTAAGTTATGCAGCTCATTTCCTGTCTTTCAGCAACTATCCTAGAAATGACAGGGGAGGTACCTAGAGAGACTTTAAACGTCTGAGTTCTGATCACCTCTTCCTAACTTTTACATCCATGATGCTGTGTATTTTAATCTGCCTTGGTTTTTCACTCTACAAGAGATGACTATTTTAGTCAGTCAGTATTTGTTCAGATGTACCCATTTGCTTTTCTTTCTTTCTTTTTTTCTGAGATGTTATTTATTTACTTTTAGAGAGAAGGGAAGGGAGGGAGCGAGGGAGAAAAACATCCGCCCAGGCCCATGCCCTGCGTGGCTGGGAATCCAACCGGCGACCTTTTGCTCTGCAGGGCGACCCCCAACTGACTGAGCTGCTCAGGTCCAGGCTCGAGTTACCCATTTTCACAGCTCATCACACTTTTCCACACTCATTGGGATAATTTTTCTTAACCTGAGGGCTGTCCTTTCAAATTTCCTTTCACGACAGTGTCCTGGCAAGCAAACCCTCCATTTTAATTTGTCTAAAAATATCTTTTCTTTACCCTTATTTTAGAAAGCTATTCTTGCTGACTACAAAAATCTGGGCTCACAGAGTTTTGAGCTTTGAGCCCCCAAAGGGCCCGGTGATGACATCGTTACTGTCACCAGTTGCTGTCACCTCGCCTCCCCTGTTGCTTCTGGATCCCAAGAGTCTCACCACAGTTCACTTACAGGTAATCGGTCTTCTTTTCTCTGGCTGCCTGTAAGCATTCTCTCTGCCACGGATTTCGTGCTTTGACTATGACGTGTGTAGACAGAGATTTACTTTCGTTTATCCTGGTCGGGTTCTACTGGGTTTCTCCGTATCGGGGTGTGCACCGGGCCCACTGGACCCTCAGCTGCTAGTTCCTCAGCCACGATGGCTTCCAGTGCGGACTGTGCGTGTCCGGGTCCCTCTGGGCCTTCCACACGTCCTTCCCCCGGACACTCACTACCAGAAATCTTTGAAGGTCTAAATTTGTTGCCCATTATTTTTACTGGCTTTTCCTCCTAGTTTTGTTTTTTTTTTTAAATGTTTATTGATTCTAGAGAGCTAGGAAGGGGGTGGAGAAAGAGAGAGAGAGAGAGACAGCAAATATGAGAGAGAAACACTGACCAGCTGTCTTCCACACTGGCCAGGGCTCTGCATAGTTTTTCATTGTTTGTTTGGTAAATTTTTTTTGTTGTTATGAATTCATTTTTCTTGGAATTCCATCTATGAGAATTATTTGAAGTCTGAGTTAAATGCAGACTCCTCCAGAGAAGATTCGTGCTTGTTTTTCAAAGACGGCTGGAGGTTCTACTTTAAACGAAATTCTCTGCTTGAGGTTTCTTGGACCATCCAGGTCACAGAAATTCAGGCAATAAACCCACTGGAGAGTCGGTGGTTTTTCCAGGGTCACCCTGCCCCCATCTCTTGGCACTGAGGTTTGAAATAGGCAATGTTCTCTGCAGCTACCCCAGGGTAAGAGCTTACATTCAGCTCACCCTGAATGTTGCCCTTTGAAGACTCAGCTTTATGGGATTCAGGTAGGAGGCTTCCTGGATGCCCCCTCTTAGGCTCTGAGTTGCGCTTTCTATATTCTAGGCCCCTCAGGTCATAAACACTACAGATGCATGTTCAGCAAAAACCTTCAAAGTTGGTTTCAGAACCCTAGCTACCTCTTTTTTTTTTTAAGATTTTATTTATTTACTTTTTAGAGAGAGGGGAAAGGAGGGAGAAAGCTAGGGAGAGAAACATCAGTGTGTGGCTGCCTCTCTCAGGTGCCCCCTAGCGGGGAACCTGGCCCTCAACCCAGGCATACACCCTGACTGGGATTGAACTGGCGACCCTTTGGTTCACAGGCCTGCGCTCCACCCACTGAACCACTCCAGCCAGGGCAGAACTCTGGTTACCTCTTAAGAGCTCCATCTTTCACTTCAGTTTTGGGCTCCAAGTATTCTTTATGAACATATATTTTAGTTATAATTGTGTTTTCCCACTGGCATTTTCCGTTTTCATCATGGTACCTACTTGGTCACACTGTCAAATAGGAGGTACCAAGTCCTCATCTGAAGAGAAAATGTCTGAGAACAGAAATAGGCTCATGGGGGAGCGGTGGGGGGAAAAGGCAGAAAACTGTGCTTGAACAATAAAAAAAAGTTAAAAAAAATAATATCCTCAAAGGCAATTTCAACACACCCTACAAAGACAAATGCACACGTTACTTAAAGCACAGCTTTGAATTCTGCAGGATCTTTAAGGCGTCCTTTTAAAAACATCTGTTGATGACGTAAGTAACTGTGCACTGACCAGTGGGAAAAAGTACTTTGGAAGTTGGTGAACTTGTCCTCCTGCTCCACTTTACCACTAATTTGGCCTTGAACAAAAGCCAACTCTTTGACTGTTATCACCTTAGTTAAATGAGTCGCAGGAGGTGAACATTGTGAGCATTTGTGTCTTGTCTTCACAGTTAAGCTGTACCTCCCTGACAGGGAACACCGTGTTCTCCAAATCTTCCAATCCTTCCCTTTTTAGTTCTTACCTACTTCCTACAAGACTCAACTAGCTCTGGCCGGGTGGCTCAGTGGGGTGGAGCAACGTCCCCTACATTGAAAGGTTGCCGGTTCGATCCCCAGGGTCAGGGCGTAGGGGAAGCAACCGATCAATGCTTTTCTCTCTTTCTCTCCCTTCTTCTCTAAAATCAATAAAAACATCCTCGGGTGAGGACTTAAAAAAAATCAATGGGTAAAAAAAAAAAAAATCAATGGGTTAAAAAAAAAGAACCAACCAATGAACGCATAAATAAGTGGAACATCGAATCGATGTTTCTCGATGTTTCTCTCTCTCTCTCTCTCTCCCCTTTCCTCTATCTAAAAATCAATAATAAAAAAAACCCACAAAAAAACAAAAAACCAATTAAATTCCAGCCCTGGCCGGGTGTCGCCAGGAGACGCCAAGGTTGCAGGTTCGATCTCCCCTCAGGGCACATACAAGAAGCAACCAACGCATGCATAAATAAGTGGAACAAATGGATGCTTCTGTCTCTGTCTCTCCTTCCCCGCTCCTCGCTAAATAAATTTTAAAAAAAAACATTAAATTCCATCTGCCCTTTCCACAGCACATCCTCTTGGATCATCAAATTAGCCACTACTTTCGAATAACCTGAGCATGTCAGAGCTCGCAGGATCCCTGGAGACTATGTAGCAACTAGTCCCACGCTCGGCGTTCAGCGAAGAAACCGGAGGCCCAGAGCTGAGTTAGGGCTGAAATCCAGTTTCCTGCCTCCATGCCCAGGGCTTCCCTCGCCCCGAGCTCTGCGTCCTGCGAGGGCTGGAGGAGACCCCACAGCTTCGCAAAGCAAACCCCAGCAACTCCCTGGGGAGACAACACCTGTGCCCTGGGAGAGGAAGCCCGGGCTGGGCTTCCACCTGCGGCTGCAACCGCGGGACAGAAGTCTGTAGCGGGACAAGGTGGCAGAAGGAACCAGCGAAACACAATGGCCGAGGACGAGCTGGTCTCGGACCAGCCCTGCGCCCCCCGGGGTCGCCGGAGCACCCGGCGCGCTCACCGGCAGCGAGGCGGACCCAGAGTTTCCAAGCCGCGCCACCTCTCCAGCCTGCAAACGGGCTGGCTTTTGGCACCACGGAGAAAACGTGTGGGGACGGTCACAAACCCAAGAACAGGCAACAAGCCTCAGAGAAGTTTCCCGGCGAAGGCGCGTGGCGCTGGGGCTCCGGCCCCGCGCGGAAGGAATCGGACAGCGGAGGGCAGAGCCCAGGGGTCGCGGGGGCAGGTCTGTACCCGCCGGCGCCAGCGGCCGCCGGGGACACCCAGCCCCGCCCCGGGGCTCCGCCATCCCGAACGCGCCCCCGAGCCGCGCCAGGGGGACCCTTACCCGAGCCGACGCCGGTTCCGCCATTGCTGCGCGTCGCCCGTCCGCAGCGGAGCCTCGCCTGATACCCTCGGACTGCGCGCGGGTCCGCTGGGCGTCCCCTGCCCCTCCTCGCAGCCACCTCCAGCTCCGTGTTGACACAAGGCCAAGACTGGCTCCGGCCGCTCGTCCTCGGCGCGTGGGATTCCCATTGCGCCCCCGTGCGGCCGGAGGGTGAAGAGCAGCGCCGCGCTTTCGGCCAGGGGGCGGGCCCCGCAGGGCTGACTGAGTCCCTCCAGGTCAGTTGCAGCTTCGGAGCAAACAAACCCACGGGACTTCACGTGTGTGTTTTTTACGTGCCCAGCGCTCTGCTAGGTGCTTTGAGAGATTCCAAAATGTATAAAGCTCAGACTTTGCTCTGAGGGAAGAATATGTCATCTAATTGGGGAAAAAAAGCTATGGTCCCAAATGGCAAGAGGTTGTTGTTATCTCAAAATTTTGCTTTTTAGAAGCTAGAAATACACTTTGCATCTCAACAGTGTGGGGCCAGGCGCCCAGACCACCCCACTGTGGCCTATTCATTATAATAATCACATGCCTTGGAAACAGCAAGATAGCCCTGATTTCAAGTATTTAATCCAGGGCACATGCTCTGTGATAAATGGTGGGTGTGGAGTTTTGCAGCCGTATTTGCCTAGTCTGTGCCACGTGGTCTCTTTAGAGATTTGCGATGGACTTCCACTTGCAGTGATACAATAGATATGCAACGCTTCCCCTGAGAACTACACTCGTGTTTACATGACTGGGTCCCTCTTGGCATGGAAGGCCCAGGTGAGACTTCACCTCTTCAGAGAGGCATTCCCTGCCCACCCTGCCTACACCCCAACATCCTCCTCCATCCCAAATATCAGTCTAGTTACCTGCTTTGGAAATTTTGTCGTATCATTTATCACGATCTGAAATCTCACTCCTTTCATTCGTTTATGTGGTAATTATGTGTCTCTTTCACTAAAATGTCCCTCCATGGTACCTCCATTTCTTGCACACATAAGTGCAAGAAATCCATCCATGAATACTTTTGGATGATCAGATGGCAAATCAATGAGTAAAGCTAGGAAAAGTCTCCTCCAAGAGAAGGCGTGATGTCCAAGGCAACCAGATCGCCAGGAGGTTGATTGAATCATTGGTATACCTAAAGAATGGGCCAGGCAGAGGAACCTAGTCTACCATGGAAGTCTGTCCAGGGTCCGACCTACTTTCCCCAGCCGACAAAAGCTTCCCACAGGCCTGGCTGGTGCAGCTCAGTGGATCCAGCTGCAGGCTGCAAACCAAAGGATTGCTGGTTCGATTCCCAGTCAGGGCACATGCCTGGGTTGCAGGCCAGGTACCCAGTAGGGGGATGTGTGAGAGGCAACCACACATTGATGTTTCTCTCCCTATCTTTCTCCTTCCCTTCTCCTCTCTCTAAAAAAAAATAAAATCTTTTAAAATAATGTATCAAGATTGTGGAGACAGATATAGGATACTGAGGTTGTTAAATGGTCCAGTAGTGGAACTCACACGTTCTGTTCCATTGCTCTGTTCACCAGGCCACCTTATGCTGATGCAGGTCCCCCTGTAGCTCTTGGGCGTCAGGCTGATGTGAATGTCCAGTCCACCCCTGAAAATTATTAAACAATGCTCCAGCTTATCCATCAGCCAGTCTCTTGAGAGTCAGTCAGCATGATTCAGCATCCCCGACTGCGAGCCTGGGACTCTGGAAGAATATGTAGATCAAATTTCCAGTGTGCAGGGGAGGCAGCACCAGGCACCACTTTGCAGTGTCATGGGCTTTTGGAGATGGCAGCACAGAGGGTTAGAAAGTGGGGCCAAGGAGGAGAGAGACCACCCGGGTCCCTCGCCCAGTACCACCACTTCCTCGATGTGGACACTGGGCAAGTCATCAACTTCTCGGCACCTCCCACTCCTTGTTATTAGTGGTGGCTAACAGCACGTGTGTCACAGAGTTGTTGTGCAGACTAAGTGAGCTCGTTCAATGTCAAGCGCTTAGAACAGCGCCTGTCGTCGTAAAAGCTCAAGGTGCGCTCACGATGGCCATTATTCTTTACCTCTCGGCTCCTTCACTCGCTAAGTGGTGTGGTGCCGGCTCAGTCCTTCCCACTGGGACTGTGAGCACCATCTCCACGGGGCGTTGGTGGGATTAAGAGAAACGACATTGTGTAAGTGAAACGTGCGTGCAGCCGAATGCCCTGGACAGAGCGAGCACTTGCTAACAGGCAATTTCTCCTTTTGGTTCGTCTTTGCTTTGGCGAAGCCCTAGCCTTGAACTGCAAGGAATTCGCCGAGATAAATGTCTCCTTGTCGTCTCTGAGAAGCCACTCATTGGTCCTTTCCCAATGACACTCAGATTTTGACACATAGCTTTGAATAAACGTTTTCCTTTTTCTTTCTTTCTTTCTTTCTTTCTTTCTTTCTTTCTTTCTTTCTTTCTTTCTTTTCTTTACTTTACTTTTTTATTTTTAGTTCAGTGGCAGTGGAAAGATTTATTAAAGTGCAAGTATACTCTCGGAGGGAGGGAGAGAGAGTAGGCGGGACCAGAGAGCAACTTCGGAATAAACTTTAAATGAGGTTCACAATGACTCCCACTGGTGGCACTGGTCTCAGAAGAGTCAGTGCACTCTCGGTCTCTGTATCCTGGCGCCTGTGCGATGGTTGAAATATGCAGAGGCCCTGGCCGGGCAGCTCAGTCGGTCAGAGCATCCTCCCAGTACGCCAAGGTTGTGTGTTTGATCCCCGGTCAGGGAACATGCAAGAATCAACCAACGAATGCATCAGTAAAAAGTGGAACAGCAGACTGATGTTTCTCTCTCTCTAAAAATCAACAAATTTTTAAAAACCCGTAGAGCTGAATGTGACCTTAGATATTATCTCACCCACACCCTCATTTTTAGGGACAGAAAAGTATTCTTTTAACCCCAAATAATACTTTGAAATGCTTTAAAATATCTACCTTGGCCTTTAACTCTTCTACTGTGTGATTTATCTACCGGATGCATTAGCCCATGTGCACCCATTTTTTGGTTCAACAAAGTTCACAGGTCACAGCCTTATTCCACTTAGTAGAGACGCCTTCTGGTCGGTTCCCTCTGCTATCCTGCAAGTCTCCAGATGGCAGGGGCCATGCCCGGTGTGTACCTTCTGGGGGGGCAGAGGAGGGGCCCCCCGGGGAGCAGGCCGCATGAGGCGTGCAGGTCGGTGAGAACCCTAGTGTGAACACACTTGGCTCAAGCCGCACCCCCTGCGGTGTATACGTGTGTGTGTGTGTGTGTGTGTGTGTCCCACATCTGATAACGTTGTCGGCTTAGCATCTCTTTCCTCTGTGCCTGTCGCCTTGTTTCCTTTGGGGGGCGCTCTCCAGTTCTGAGAGAACTCGGGAGAAGTTCTTAGTAGCCCTGGCCAGGCCGGGGGGAGGCGGGGCTGAATAGTTTGGAGCATTGGTCTGCACACCAGAAGGCTGAGGGTTCGATCCCTGGCTGAGGCACATGCAGGAGGCAACCGGTCGATGTTTCTCTTGCTCCCTCCCTTCCTCTGTCTCTAAAAATCAATAAAAACATATCCTGGGGTGAAGATTAAAAAAAAAAAAGCTTTTAGCCATGGATGCTTCTCAACAGGGGAAGAGGCAGGAAAGCAATCGATGTTTGTCTCTCTCCCCCACCTCCTTCCTCTGTCTCTAAAAATCAATGAAAACATATCTTTGGGTGAGAATTAAAAAAAAAACAAAAAACAACGAAGCAGCAGCAGCTCTCAGCCGTGGATGCTTCTCAACAGGGGATGAGGCAGGAAAGAGTTTTACTCTTCACTGTGTCTCTCTTTTTTTAACCATTTGAATTTTTACTGCATGCATTTTTTTAAATTAAAAGTTAATTTTAATGAACACATCAGAAGGAAAATAAAAACCCTCCCCAAAGCAGGCCCTTCAGAAAGCAGAGCGCAGGGTCCGAGCTCCAGGTCCTTGCTGCACGGAGAGGTCCCTTGGGTGGCACCACCTCTGATCAGTTCCAGAGCCGAGGTCACTCTGGGACTCTTGGGGGGTAAGTGTGAGGTCCTGGTGCAGCCGAGGGGGCGCTTGGGGCCCCAGGACCCACTGAACGGGGATGCAGGGACCAGGTACTAGATATTGGCCCTCTCACGTGGTCACTAGAGCTCTTTGGGGACCAGCTCCTTGAGGGCAAAATAGGAACTTCAACGAGGTGCTCAAATGCTTCAAACCCGTCTCCGTGATTTCTCCCCCTTTCCCTCGGGTCTTTATTCTCTTAACACCCACCCCCCAAAAAAAATCTGTGGGTCTTATTTTCCTCGATTTAGATTACAAATTTGATATTCCACATGCGCCTTTGAAAAGCAGGACACTGCCCCTCCCCCCCCACCGAAACGCACACTGGCCTAGAGGGTCCCTTCTGCTCTAATAAAACTCCATTGAACTTGTCTATGTTTAATTTCTCAACTTGTTTTCTTAACATTGGCCTCCTTCAAAAAGAACGAAGGGGAGGCATCCCGGGTGTCGCATCTCAGTGCCCTGGAGGCCATCTGCACGAGGCCACGCGGCAGCCCCCTCGGTCTCGTGAACATGCAGTCTGCAATCCGGACACCTTTTATTTCATTTCAAGAATTCCCTTTGCATGGCAGAAAGGGGTCTGAGGGGAGCCAAGCTGCGTGGACTAGGGAGGAAGCGGAGCGCTCACGAACGTTGTGCCAGGTGCTGGCTGCCCACTGTGCTCCCGGGGCGGCGGAGGCGGCGGCGGGAGAAGTGGGGCGGATGGGCGGAGCAGGAAAAGTCATTCTCGACACAAACGAGGGTCCTGGGGCATGGCACCCCAGTCCAGTGCCTGGCCATGCAAGACGCAGAAATGGAGACTGTGGCCCCTGAGGGCCACGGAGCATTGCACCAACACAGGGGAGTCCTTGGGGCGCCTCCCGAGGCGCCGGCAGGGTCTGAGTTCATGTCCACGGGCAGTTAACGGATAGCACCAGTGGGGCGGCCCAGGGCAGGGCAGAGACTGAGGCTCTCGGCCTCTAGCACCCACTTGCCTGGCCCTCCTGGGGAGAGACTCGCTTCCGCGACGGCAGCCCCTGCAGCGTGAGCCGCGCGCTCACCACTTGGCCCCGGAGAGACT